GTAGTAGTGGTAGTTGTAGTCATCGTAGTCGTAGTCGTAGTCGTGGTAGGAGTAGTAGTAGTTGTAGTAGTAGTAGTAGTAGAAGTAGAAGAAGAAGTAGTAGTAGTAGTAGTAGCAGCGGCAGTAATAGTACTATTAGAGCTCTAGCAGGCTATAAGCTATAAGGGTTGTAAAAAGGTTGTACAATAGTTCTACTAATGGGTTTATGGCTTAGAGATTTGAGACTTCTATGGGGATCTATAAGGGCTCTATAAATCTGTAAGGGTTCTTCCGTAAGGGTTCCATTAGAGTTCCATAGGGTTCTACATGGGTTCTACCTGGGTTCTACAAGGTTCTCGCAGAGTTCTACAAAGGTTCTATGAGGTCCGAGAGATCTGCGACGGGTAGGGATGATTTTCTGAATGAACACCAGCAGCATCCCTACAAGCGTACTATGATCTGCCGTGTTGAAGGGGCTTTTGACAAAGCTTCGGATATTTGATCCCACGGCTCAGGGATTCTTGTACGGTTGTTGATTTTTGGTTGGGTTTTGTGGGGTTCAAGGTTTTAGAACTGGGACCAGGAATTTCAGTCACTGGCCCCGGTTACACAGGCGGGGTTTGGGGTCGAACCATACTCCCCCCAGCGCTAGCCGACGGGCCTGGGGAGGTACGCTCTACTTTCAGGGACATGGCACGCAGCAAGAAAAGTGATCAAGGGTTTTGGGTGAGGTAGCTGGAGATATAGCTACTCATGACCACAATCAAGGTGTTCCGTCCCTTAATCCTCCAAGTACGTCACGCCCAAACTCTCCCTAAGCCCTACACCCAAAACCTTGTTTTTTGAGGCTGAAGGTTTCGAGTTCAGGACTACACGCCCTAGACAATCAACCCCACACATCAAACCCTGAACCACCAAGCCCTAAACCCTAAATCCAACAAATCCCAAAACTCTGAACCTTATGCTTTCAGGTTGGTGTTTTTCTTCTGGATTTTGATTCACGATGTTGCATGATTCTGTTTTCAGAATCTCCATCTGAGCCCTGGGTGAGGAAGAGACAATGCAGCGGGGCCGGTAGTACGCCGCCCTGGCTTCTGCTCTTTGGCTAAGGGTTCTGCAACAAGGGTTCAAGGTTTCAGGGCCCTAAGCCTCAAACCCTAAATCCACCTACACCGGATATTGTCTGAGGGTTGCTGCTCTGAGAATGCTTTTCTCCGGGCTTTAGGGCTTCGGGTTTTCGGGGAGGGTTTAGCATTGATGGTGTTGGGATCCCGAGGGCTTCTGGGATTTTAGGCGGAGTATTGGGAGTATAAGCGGTGTACGGTTTTCGGTTTCGGGGTTTGGAATGCAAAGGCCCCAGATGGCTAGCATTTGCCAAAGACTTCCGCCCTACGCGCCGAGCTACAGTTAAAAAACTCAACTCCTATGCAGCGGGTTCAGGGTCTCGGGTGTAAGGTGACAGGCGCAGCCAGAAGAACGAGCCTTTTTGGGTATAGCCGGGTTCACGTTGTGAACTCCACTTCTGAAGTGCTTCAGGTCGTTCCATTAGAGGTCATGTGCCTCCTTCCCGTCTCTCCGAATGACCTGCACTCTCAAATCCTTCAGCCCAGACCCTGGACCTCGGAACCGCAGGCAGAACACATCTAGAACCTCTTGGCAGGGAGACAAGTAAGGAAGCTGTAGTAGCTACGGCGACCACTTCCGCTGGAACTCTGAAACTGGAAAACTTCCGTCGCCTTCGCCACGGAGTGGATTCCAACATGGCCATGACGCTAGATGCCTGCCGTCTCGGGAGTCAGCGCTCCCAAACCGCGATGTAGGAAGCCTACGTAACTCGTGTATTTCATGCCTTCACGGCCATAAAAGCTATCATATGATGTAGCCCCCGAGACCCGAATCCTCGTATCCCTACACCCCAATGCCGAAGCCCCGAAGCCCCTGCTTGCTGGCAGACCCCAACACCCAAGCAAGTCCGATCACAATCCGGCCCTGCTCGAAATGCTACCAGCAACTTAAAGGGTCATGGGACATGGCAAGGTGAGTAAGAACATCGGATCTCGCAGGGCACCGAACAAAGGCAGAATCCTTAGGCAAAGGTGTTGGGGTAGGTATTATGTTATGGTCTAGTAAAAACCTGTTTGCTACTCTTCGGATAAACGGATCTTGCTTGTGAGACCTGCTGCGCGCTGAAGGGCTGCGTTAGGAAAACTATACCCGATGCTGAAGCCCTAGACCGTAAGCCCACAGCCCGAAACCAACACGACATCCTAGAAGCCGTACAACCCCAGGTTTTGGGGAGGGACTTACATAAGGAAATGATGACAGGGAGCCCGTAAAACTAGGGTTACAGGCAAGCCCTGAGAACCCCAAACCCCTACCTCTTGCAGAACTTAGCTTTTGCAGAAAGGAAGCCGCATCTGCCTCAAGCTCAGAGCTCATGTCCCGCCTAGGCAAGGCCCACTTAGTCTCTGGAGCCAGTGATGGGCTTGAGCGAGCTGTTGGGTTTTAGTTGGGGTGTCGGCGCCCTCGTGGGGGATGACGTGTTCGGATGGAACACTACGGGGATCTGAAAAATCAGTGCGAATACATCCTTAAAGTATTTACAGTATGGACTGACATGTATATGTATATACACCCACACACATGTTCCAAAATAGTGTGAGCAGGAAGTCAGCTAGACATCTTGCACGTCTGCCCCAGAAAAGCTGACCTTTAAGTAGTGTAGTCTGGAACAAACTCTTCACCGTGAAAACTCCTAGAGTACAGGTGCATATGTGCATAAATAGAGCTGAGGCCTGTCCAAGGCATACTATACAAGACTCTAGAAACCGGGGATACCTTAGTTTGGGGTCCTTATGATAAGGATCCCATTATTTAAGGTACTATATTAGGGTCCCCCTATTTTGGGAAACCCCCAGACAAGGCCCAAGGCTATGGAGGCCCCCTGCTACCTAAGAAGAAGCGAAAATATCAGACGCCCGGGAGGCTGGCGGATGAGTCGGTCGGGCCTCTTCTATGTGCTCTTGGCACTTGGTTCCGGTGAAAGGTTTCTGGGTGGGGCCGAAGAGAGCAAAACACCCAGGCCCCATGACAGGCCCGTCTGAACCCTAAACCCCTAAACCCCTAAACCCTAAACCCTAAACCCTAAACCCTAAAGCCCTGAACCCTGAAGGCCCTTAATCCTGAACCCGACAACTACAAACCCTGCAGGCCTTAAAACCCTGAACAACCCTAAAGCTGCGAATAACACGCGACCCAGGGCCCGAGCATCACTTGATTCAGGGCTTCCTGACATGCCAGGCATTTTTGGAAGTTGTGTAAAGCTCCCTGTCGGGCATGGCGCCTTATTTGCACGTATTGAGGGGTTTATGAACATGATCCCCACGTGAGGACATACTCTAGAGCGGCTGCCCATTTTCGATGGTTACGGTGTGGAGCATGGGTCGAAACGATCCCAGGTGTGAATGTCGAACCCGACGATCGACCGCACTTCAGCCGCGACACGTGCCTGGCAAGACCGTCAAACAAAAAAGTAACTTCGAGCTCTGCTTCGGCTTCGACCTTCAAAGAAGCCAAGTTTACAAAGGAAGAGCCCCGGATGCGTGAAATTCTCCCCAGATCTCTGAAACACCCTACCCCTGGACCCCCAAACAAAGGACGGCCCGCCCACTACCAGGCTGCATTGTGCTTCTTTCGGGGTTTGGACAGGGAAAAGGCTACAGAGTTTTGGGGCCCTTTCAGTCGACCCCAAACCACAAACCTCGAATACTAAACCTAAATCAAGAGTGCATAGCTTAAACGCTGCAAGCCCTGCAACCTCTGGAAACGTAGATCCGAGGTGAGAAGATTTACGCCTGTACCTAACAGCCAGGATCCCAACATTCAGCGTTCCTAGTCCCATGATAAGGTTCTTTCTCAACTAACAGCTGAAGTCCCGTGTTGAGCATTCTGAAAGCCGTTCTAAACGTCCATATACTCAATCAATGACCTGAAACTCTCAACATCCTTGTCAGGGTAGAGGCAGTGAATCGCGCAGATCCAAGAGCCTAGAAATCAAGCTGCACGCCTTGACACGAGCAAGCCAAACAAAAACCTTTCACAGTGAGCGAGTGACCCAGTAGACCCTACAACGCTTTCCAGAATTCACACCTTAGAGCTCAAAAGCCAACAAACCCAAAAGCTCTACGAAACCTCAACTCCCCAAGCCTAAGCACCCAAGCTGTCCTCACTCTCCGGGCGAAGTCTCAAAACCAGCTCTTGGCTACTCCCGTGCTTCTCCTGCGGCAAGATGTGCAAAGGAACCCTAAAGCCTACAACCCTACCTGTGGCCCAACAGACCTACCCATTAATTGCAAGGAACTATAGAAAACATACTCAGGCACCCTGAAAAGGTATGTCTTTTCGGCTACACGTAAACCTTACACACCCTATAACCGGGAAACATAAGCCTGAAAGGAAGGCAGGAAGGATTGATTGGGGTAGCGTCCGAAAAATGCTGCGGCCTGGCCCCCCGGAAAGCCCTACTATAGGGGCCTGAAGAGTTAGAATTGGGTTTGAAAGTTTATATACTGTAACTGTAATAAGGAAGGAGCCCTATTCTAGTTATTAAGACTCTCATGTTACTTGGAGGATCATGGGACTCAGCTGGCTCCCCACCGGTCATGATATCCCAAGCCCACAAGACCTCACCCCTAAGCACAAGACGCCCGACCAACAGCATTACATGCACGAAACAGATGTTGCGCATATACAGTATATATATATATATACATATCTGTATATGTATGTACACATATTCATACGTACGTAGTTATCTGTTTCATTGTGCATGTTTGGTTGTATAGAGACCGAGATGATACATAGGTACATGTGTGTGTCTGTGCACGCATGCAGATGCAGATGCCGACGCAATGATGGCGACACAGCAAACACCCAATGCCTTGATCTGCTGCGCTGTGCCCACCTCTGCTTTGGACTACTGGGGCTTTATGGTTCCCCAAAACTGCAAAAGCACCGGCAAACCCTAAGCAGCCAAAGTCGTGTCACAAATTCAGAGGCATACAGACTGAGTTTGGGCTTTAGGGTTTACGGTGTCAGAAGACATCCTGTGAAAAGCTGACAGATCCTTCCATCTGCATGGGTTTGGGGTTGACGGTGTCAGGGCTTAAAGGTACAAAGGGCTTCCCTCGGCGAGCGATTCGTCAGCCTGGGCACCAACTACCAGCCGGAAACCCTGACAAAAAGGCACCAGCTGAGTTTTCTGGGGCTGGGATTCTACGATGGTTCTACGAGGGCTCTACAAAGGTCTATACTGCCTTTTCGCTGGTCAGTAGAAGGGTTTCTCGTTGTTTTAGGGTTAAAGAACTCTGTTTAAGATACCATCGTAAGCAAAGCAACTTATTCATCATATACCCTTTCAGGCAACTTAAACTGAAACCGAAAACAGCAAACTATAAATCATCATTGTAAGGACCCTTTGAAAACCCTTTCGACTCCTAAGGCATCCATCCTAAAGCCCTGAGATAAGGCGCCCAAAACCGTAAAACCCCTCAAACCGAAACCCTAAAATCAAAGCCCTAAAACCCCTAAACCCAAACCCTAAAACCTAAAGCCCCAAACGCCAACGCCGCTAAACCTTGGATCCCGGGCCGTTAGGAGCTGACCCTCTGCCATAATGCCAAGGCGACTGGATAAGGCCTTGGTGGCTTTCCAGGTTTTTGCGGTTTTATGGTTCAGGGGTTTGCAGGCTCGTATACGGCGTCTGCGAAAAGTGTTCAGGGGTTCAGGCGTTTAGGGAATTAGTCTTTGGGGTGAGATTCAGGGCTTGAGGTAAGGTCGGGAGTGATTAAGAAGAGTTTTGGGCTTCTAGGGCGGGTTAGGCCTCGAGATTCTGGACTTAGCATCTAGGATTCGGTCATTCCTCTGTGCTAGCTGTATCATTTACGGAACCTGCGATCTTATCCGACACCCTAAACCCTAAACCCATGTACTGGCCACTGGCAAGGCTTACTTGGAGGTTCATGGGTAGTTATAAGTAGGGCTATAAGTCCCCTAATATGGGTTATAAGTATAGTTACCCTACTTATAACCCCACTTATAACTACCCATGAACCTCCAAGTAGGGCTGTTGAGACTTACGCTTTACGTGTACAAGGATTGCAAACACCCGGAAGGCTCCAGAGCCCTGCTATCAAGGCCAAAACAGTTAGAAAAGGGTTTATAATGATAAGGGTTTAGGGTTTAGGGTTTAGGGTTTAGGGTTATAATATGGAAATAACATAGGTAATTATTGAGGCCCATATACTACTTCAAAAGCCCTATCCCTCCCAGCCCCATGAAATCCCAGCAAAAGAACGACGTGAGGGCCCAAAAACCGAAACGCCCTGAATTTTTGGGCCCTGAACTCAATCTTAAAGCCCTACAGCCATAACACCCCAAAGCCCAAACCCTCAAACCCGCAACCCAAAATGGCCAAAGCAGAAGGCCAAGGCCCCCAAATCCTAGACCCTAAACTCTAAACACCGAAAAAGGCCTTTACATGCAACCCAGATAGTAACCCTTATTCTACCTGTTCAAAGGAACCCTTAAAGCAGCACTGTTCTAACCTTAAAACACCAAAAACCGCAACCCTTCACCCGACCTCCGCCTCTTCCATGGAGTGCGTGGTCAGCAGCACAGCTGAGGGCGTCGAGCTCGGCTGGGCCCTGGCAGCTGAAGGCGTGCAGATTTTTTGTGGTTCTTTTGCGGGCTTAAGGCTTTCGTGGCTTTTGGGCTTTAGGG